ATCGTAGGGCTATGGCTGAAGCTACTGTCCTTGAGGAAGTGTCTAGCGCATGTTTGGAAGTATTGATTTGTTGCTTTGCCAGCACCATGCCCTCCTTTTGGATGATGCGGGCTGCCTGACGCTTGTCTTCTGGGAGATGAACCAGAAGCTCAGAAAGCCTTTCCCACAAGGTGTACTGGTATCTGCTCATACACGCTAAGTAATTGGTGGTCTTTACTCTCAGCGCTCTCGTAGAGTAGAAACGGCGTCTGAATGCATCTAACTTTCTGCTCCCCTTGTCTGAAGGTGCAGAATGTGTTCCCTTGGACTTGGATGAGGAAGTGACTACCATGGAATTTGGTTGAGGATGGGAGAATAAGAATTCTGCTCCAGTTTCTTGGACTCTGTACATGTGGTCCAAGCGACGTGTGGATACTGGAGCCGATGACAGTTTATCCCACGGGGCCTTTGCTGCCTGTAACAGGACCATAGACATGGGGAGAGGAGGAGGTGGGGGGGCAGGAACACTCGTGAGGATCTACTCCTGGAGCGGGAGCATCTTGGAGACAGTGTAGGATCTCGTCTCCGTGTGCAGGCCCTATTAGCCCGATCATCAATATCGAAGGGCCGATCCTCGGCGAACAGATGGGGAGGATGACCTTGAGTGCTTTTAGGGATCTGTCGATGCCAAGCCGCATCGATATCAGCATGGCACTCCGAGACCGTCGATGTCGAAGACTGAGCAGAGGGAGAGCAATCCGTGCCCGGGGGACGACTGAGGATCTCAACATCCGATGCCGATACTGCCGTTGGAGCGGGGGGCACATTAGGGGCATTACCCGGTGCAGTACCTGCTACATTCCCAGACTTCGCCGCCTTTAGGGTCTTGGAGGAGCCCTTTTTGCAGACTTGTGCTCTTTATCCGTCTTCTGTTTCCTTTTCACGGGCGTGGACGCCGAAGACTGCAACGTTGGTGCCGAACGCTTCGATGTCAACTGAACAATGTTGGACGAAGGCTTCAAAGCCTGGGCCGTCGATGTTGATGGTCTCACCAGGACTTCTGAGTCCATGACTGAAGCGGGATTTAGCGCAGATTCGAGTAACGCTACTCGGAATCACGCCGCTCGGTTTTTCCTAGTTTTATTGGAAAATTTGGCACAGTGTCGACAGGACTCTGGTCGGTGCGTTTCGCCAAGACAAAAAATGCAGAGGGCGTGGCCGTCAGGTGGAGCGAGCTTACTGCCACAGCCCTTGCAATGCTTGAAAAAGCCCCACTTCTTCTCCATAAAATAAATAAAAACGGAGAAGAAAAGACAGGGGGGGGCGCGAAGGCCAGACTGAGGTAAAAGAAAAAAGTTCCCCTAAAACTAAACAAAGTTCTTTCTTTCTTTTTTGAAGAAACAACAAAAGAACAAAGGTAAACGAAAAATAAAGAAAGCTGAGGAGAAAAACGAAGCGCTGAAGAGAAAAAAGCTACCGATCAGACCGACGAAAGGAAGGTGCTTCCAGCACGGCGGAAAGAAAGGAACTGGTGGGATGTCCGCGCCCACCCCTCTGGGCATGCGTGGTGGGGTTCCTGCGCATGCCCAAGGTCTGGGCACTAAAATCTGTTAAAGACCTTGCTACAATGCCGATCGATCCAGCACGTGTGCACTGTATCCCATGGGTGTGAAGCACAGAGACCACGTCGAAGATTAAGAGAAGTGGTACAACAGAGAAAGCTTCTTCCAAGAGATCAGAGCCAGAAGGAAGGCTGCTGCAGGGAAGAGACCCTCATCCTGAGAGGAAGGGTGAGCAGACTGAGACCCACTTGAGACAGTGAGCTAGGGACAGTATATATTTAGATGCGTTAGGGCATTTGATTTCTTTTCACCCACTTATTGTTACTATTCCTGCACCTTGTTTGTTTGACCTACTATAAAATAAACTATTTTCACTGTTCACTCTGCCTGGTCCTCACGCCTATTATTCGGCCAAAAGGGAGGTCTAAAGGCCTGGGAGGGTGCTCTGGGCCTTCTCAGAGGAACCTGGAACCAGAGTGGTGGCAGCGTCAGGTGACACCCCACCTGAGCCATGACAATAACAGGAGCCAATGTTGGATCAGGCCAACGGCCCATCCAGCCCAACACTCTGTCACACAGTGGCCAAAAATACCAGGTGCCATCAGGAGGTCCAGCAGTGAGGCCAGGATACTAGAAGGCCTCCCACTGTTGCTCCCCCAAGCACCAAGAATTGCATCACTTGCCCCAGACTGAGAGTTCCTATCTATACCTTGCAGCTAATATCCACTGATGGACTTCTGCTCCCCTATGTATATCTAATTCCCTCATGAAGCCATCCATGCTTGTAGCCGCCGCCACCTCCTGTGGCAGTGAATTCCATGTGTTAATCAATCTTTGGGTGTAGAAGTACTTCCTTTTATCTTTTCTAACCCGACTGCTCAGCAATTTCATTGAGTGCCCACAAGTTCTTGTATTGTGAGAAAGGGAGAAAAGTACTTCTTTCTCTACCTGCTCTATCACATGCATAATCTTATAAACCTCGATCATGTCACCCCTCAGCCGTCGTTTCTCCAAGCTAAAGAGCCCCAAGAACTTTAACCTTTCTTCTTAAGGAAAGTGTTCCAACCCTTTTATCATTCTAGTTGCCCTTTTCTGCACTTTTTCCAATGCTAGGGAATTCAGTTAGGAAATTCAGAAATGCCTTGTGAAACAGAATTTGGCCTAAGAATTCTGGTTGGGGCAAAATGTTCTCAAAACAGAACTGGGAAATCTGTCAAAGGGCCAAAAAGTTCCAAGAAGTCTATTTTTTAAAAAAATTATTACATTTTTACCCCACCCTCCCAGCAGAGCCACCACATAACACTGCTGTACAGCATACCAGAATCCTCTGTGTTTGCAGAATTAAGGGTGGAATGACACTATGGCCCATTCTTATACAACTGTATGGTACTAACCTTGTCATTCATGAGCTGATGATTCAGGGGAGTCCAGGCACTCATCTTGGTTTGCATCTTGGGGCCCTCCAGGTTTTTGGGAGGTGCAAATGCCATTACTTTTCTGCAGAAGATGCATGTTAGATTTGAGGATCAACATTACTTTTTAAACTTCATCTCTGTGAAAGCTTAAATGGTATGCTAGAAACTGCAATTGACTCTTGAAGGAGGGTAAGCATTTTATATTGGGAGAAACATTATAAATTGTTCAAGAGGTTAAACAACCTTTTCCGCCAGTCAACCCTCCCCATCTTCAAAGCAACCACACGGGGTTAGTAAATTAGCATTTTAAAAACTATGGAAGACCAGGGTCAAGTCTGATTTGGCCCTAATACCACATTTTGAATGTCCTAGGTCTGCATATTCTGATGATCCCACAGACATTAGCAACACTGGCATTTCTTTACAATCTTCCTTATCAATTTAACCAAAGTTTACTAAACAGAGGGAGATAAAACACATTCCTCCTGATAGTTTTTAAAGATAACGAGCCACGGAATCTCTCATATACAGGAGCGAGTAGCCATGTAACTGAAATAAAGGGTTGTTTGTGCATCACATATAACCTCTCTGATCAATTTTTACCAAGGACACACAAGATATACAAGTTTACAAGAAAACAAAATATCATAACTGACATTGCTTAACCCAGGTTTTGTTTCCTTCGAATATAAACCTTGTAGTGTTCCCAAATAACACCTGAATTCTCCCTCTCCCCCCGAATTAGGGCTGCTCTAAGCATTCAGGCACAATCCTCCAAGAATGGACTGTACCAGAGTGGAGGTGATGGATTGCAGGACTGAAGGCTCACTCACATTAGACAAAAAGTCCTCCATGCCTGTAAAACGTTAGGGAGTCAAGAAGAAGGAATACAGCAGATGCTTTTACCAGCTGTGTTACTTTTCTGTGGGGAGCGGAGAGATTCAAACATGCAATGCCAGAACTATATTCTGAAGCACCACCACCTGAGGAGCAAACATATGTATCATACAGGTTCATCTGCCACGCAGCTGCAATGGACTCCCCTTCAGTACCAAAGCAATATTGTAATGTGTGAAATGATCCTGTGAGAGAGGAAACGAGGAGCTAAATATGGCCCAAACTTGCATACCTCAGGAAAAGTGGATATGACAGGATCTCTGACATATAATCAGTCTAGGGGGGCACATCCTGGTTCTTGCCAAAATCTCCCACTTCTTCTTCTACATCCTTTCCAAAATCATGGCCTATTTCTATTTATTTGGATCTCCCTAGTAGGGCATATAGTGACCCCCCCCAGAAGTATCTGAGGTCTAGAAAACGGTGAGGGGGTAAAGACTGAAGCTCCTTCTTCACAGGCTTCACAGCTGTGATCCAAACTGGGCACCGTACATCCAATAATTGAAGAGAATTCACAAATCATGCCTGACTGTTGCACACGATGCAGGTTGGGGACCCCAGACCCAACCAGTGTATTTCATAATGTATAAATCAGCCCATGTGTATACAGAAGCTATGGGAGCAATCCTAAATGGTAATGTTCAGAAGGTTAATTTTATTCAATGGAACTTAATCCCAGGAAAGTGTTTTTAGGATTGCAGCCTATGTTTCTTTCCTCACAGGTCTATGTACTTAGCATGTATTTCAAAACAGGAACCTGTTTTTCTAAATGCCATCGCACATACGACACAGTAACAAATCAGGGTTTGCCACCAAGGGTATACTCACACAGAACAATAGTGTTCAAGAGGGCATTTTTAAAACGAGATAGAACTGTTACAGAATGCAACAGTCCAGGAGGGCAACTTTATGATGGAATAGGATTGTAGTCACTGGAAATGATTATTGTAGGCATGACCTTGCTTTTACTACATTGCCTTATACCTTGAGATCTACTCTCTGTATTGTTTACATTTCAATATACCTTGCCAGTATACCTTCCACCTTGAGTCTCAGCAAGAAGGGTGGAACATAAAGAAAATCAACAAAAAGGCAGCCACAGACTCTCCCAACTCACTTGTGTACATGCTAAAGGTTTCAGATTTACTATTGGACCATAGTTGCAGAGGTAGAACAGCTAGATTCAAGTCCAGTGGCCAACAAGATTTGGTGGGGGGATGAGCTTTTGAGAGTCAGAGCTCTGCTGAAAGGATATTTGTCTCTCGAAATCTCATACCCCCAAAATTTTGTTGGTCTCTTAAGGTTCTACTGCGCTTGAATTTGGAACATTATACTTGTTACATTTTTTGGTAGGCATTTAAAAATAATCTTGTATCACCTAAAAATTGCATCGGGTAAAAATACCCTACACCCTGAACAAAATCTGAAGCCCTTCTTCTTATCTTATGAGGCAGCTGATCTTTAGAAGTTGACACACCTGTTTGTTTTACAGCTTTCATGAAGCCAGGTGATTGATAATTTTGGTAGCAAAAGAAAAAGTTATTCCGAAGCAGGTTAAATGGCTGTCCTGCCACACCTACAAAGGTAACACCAGTTTGGCAATGGAAGAAAATACAATAATATTGCAATAAGAACATAAGAGAAGCCAGTGTTGGATCAGGCCAATGGCCCATCCAGTCCAACACTCTGTCACACAGTGGCCAGAAATACCAAGTGCCCATCAGGAGGTCCAGCAATCCTAAACAGATATATATCTTCTTAGAAGGCTTAGAAGAGTGCACTTCTGCTTAAATAAATTATAAGTAAACTCATGATGCTCTTGTACTTTCTTTAACCACTTAGTTGCTGAGCCATTAGTGATTCAATGGCCCCTGCCACACGGGGGAAAAAGCATGATCAGATGCCGGGGGGAAGCCACTGAAAGGGGAGCGAGGCAGCCGAACTGCGCATGTGTGCGCATGCGCAGTTTGGCCAAGAGCCTGGATTGCTCCGGACGACGGGCGTGGCGGCGATCCCACGGCTGCGCTTGATGCAGCATTCCCGGTAAGTCCTCCTCTGGAGGTGGTTCTTTTTTACTGCGGGTTTTTGGCCTGAAGGGCCGGATTGGGGACGGGTGCACACCGCTTCCCAGATGTTGCAGTGAGATCGTGCCCGTTTGCGGCGCCCCCGATCCGTCCCTCTCCCGGGCCAAAACCTTCCGTGTGACTGGGGCCACTGTTAAGATCACCTGTATTTCATCACAGAACATCTTTTGCCAAATGCAGTGAAAACTGAGAATTGCACCCATGATTCCTTTTTCTTAAAAACAAACAAACCGTGAACATGGTTTGCACATCGTGAAGCCCACGTGAACACTGCTCTAATTGTTTACAATGATTATGCTACTGAACAGCTTTGGACTGAAGTCTTTAAACTGTTCTGTTGTACACTTACTGACTTGCCACTAAGAAAGTGGCTTCCGTATTTCAGTCAACCAAGGCAAACTTAAGCACTTCCAGATCCCGCTGCTTAATCCTTTCCAACGGAACCAGTTGGAATGCACTTTACCTGAACTTTACCTTTTGACTTCTAGAGATACATTAGGACATGTGCTGCTTTGGTTAAGCAAAACGTTAAGCGGCCAGAACATTGGTTATGATGACTGTTAAAATCCTGAGGCAGTGCAATTTGAAAGAGAATCACACTCTTCTTAGTCATTGAAGTCAATGGGTAGAAGGATGTAATTCTGATTAGGATTGCACTGGTAACCTTGCTGATCTAAGTGGATAAGATCACTCAGTTTGATCAGCAAATGCCATCAACATAGTAGGGCAATATGACATCGCAGATTCATAATATCAGTGTAAATTGGCATGATATGTTATTTGCTGAGGAACTTTCTGGCCACTTGTTTAACCAGAGGAATGCTCCCCATCATGGAAAATCTATACCACTTATAAACATGTGAAAGAAGGAAGAAATGATAACATGTTTTAGGGCTGCTCCAACTCTTTTAGTGCCATTGCTTGTCTGTGATAAAAGTTTTAGATCTGAAGTCTGGCCAGCTGCCAACAGATTTGGTGAAAAGGAACTATTTTAATGGGAATTCAAGCCAGCTGCTAGTTTGTAGACATAATTTGATAATATTTAAGAAAGATTAATACACTCTAATACTCATATCATATTAACTAAGGGCATTAGAGTGATTCCCTGGATTGTGCTAATCCAGGTTTAACCCTGCAAAAATGTTATGCCAGTGGCCTCCAACAAAAGGCCTCTTTTATGGAAGGGACGAAAGCTTTAGTAGGAACAAGTTCAATACAGCATTGTTTGGAAAAGCTTTAAGACATACATAAGCACTTAACCTACTGACCATAATCCACATGTTGGCAATGACAGATAGTGCTACATTCCCCAGTTACTAAAAAAAAAAAAGTACTTGATTTTACAGGATTTTAAACACTCATTGGCTAGAGTTCAACCAAGATCACCATCTTTGATTTCTGTCATCTGTACTCCAGATCAGAGCAGCCAGGACACACAGAAAGTTGCTCTTGATAGTTATCACACAATCTGTGGAACTCCTATTCACAGGACATTAATTATGTGATTTGGTGTAGTGGTTAAGTGCGCAGACTCTAATCTGGGAGAACCAGGTTTGATTCCCCACTCCTCCACTTGCACCTGGCTGGATGACCTTGAGCAAGCCGTAGTTCTGATAAGAGCTGTTCTTGAAAAAAGAGCAGTTTCTCTCAGAGCTCTCTCAGCCCCACCTACCTCACAGGGTGTCTGTTGTGGGGAGGGGAAGGGAAAGGAGTTTGTAAGCTGCTCTGAGACACCTTTGGGTAGTGAAGGGCGGGGTATAAATCCAATCTCTTCTTCTTCTTCTTCTTGTTTGGACTTCCTTTTGGTGACCTGAATACAACAGACTAATGAGCCAGACCAATGAGTCAGACCATTGGTCCATCTAACATTTAAAAATGTCTATTCTTTCTGGAGTAGTTCTCCAAAGCCTCAGGCAGAGCTTGCTTGCTACCTGAGATCCATTTAACTGAAAACGCAAAGGAGCTGAACCTGGGATATTCTGCATGTGAAGCAGGTGATCTCCGCCACTGAGCTATGGTCCATGTGGCCATACTGTCTTTGAGCCAATGAGACTGGGTAGGTTAGACATCTGAAAAAAATTCTGTCTTACTGTT